TATAATTGTTACAATTTTCATATTCCTTTAAGCCAAAATGAGGGTCAAATTTTGGGCATTCACAACTACGTTTTGTATCCATTATCTGCAGTCATCCATTCGTATACATGATACTTAGATTCTCACCAAACTAACTAGACATTTACTATGCACATACAGCGCAGTAAGTATATGTATGTAGTTATTCGAAATATTCGTATGTGCATGAATATTCTAAAGTATGTGGAATAAATTTACGCAGCAAATTAGTCACGAATATGTTTGAGACCGATTATCTACCATAAGTTATTGCAAATTTTTCCATCTTGATTTCTCGGTAGAATAATCACTTCAGAGTTTTATTATCATTATCGATCGTACTTAACGCATATTTTAAAATGCTGCAAGCACGCATTTTCTGCTGCCTGTGACATATATCCGCATTACTGTAGTAAACAAAGATTAGACTGAACCGTCATTGTTTACATGTAAATGTGTAACCCGATACTCGACATAACATTTTGGGATTAAAGGAATATTTTATGATGTTTGGAAGGATCAGGCTAGCAGCTATAATAGAGCAATCAATCTTAAATAGAGCAATTGTAATTATACTCAAAATATTGTTCCAGCAATGAAATAGCACAGAAAAGAAAGGAATGATTCGCTATCAGACCTAAAAGAGTCACAGAAAAATTGTGGTACATTGGTACCGTATACCAAATGGAACAAGGGACAATGTACCGTATGCCAAATGGAACAAGGGACAATGTGTGACAGTGCTGTGACCGGCACGTGATCCGCCCGATGAAACTAAAAAGATTCTTCCTGGAATTTGGATGAACTGATTCACACTAGACCGGCACGTGGAAGTGGCCGTGTTCTCAGTGAACTCGCGACGCCGTACCGTGATCATCGAAATTGTTTTGGAACGATATTTTTCGATTTTCACGCCCGTGTTTTTACGTAATTTCGTGAATGTCTTGATATATTTGGTCAAAAACATGAATGATGAAAAACTAATTGAATTTGTGCGCGCACATCTTGTGCTGTAGAACCAGTCAAATTCAAAATACATGGACTTCCGTTTTCTTCTCGTTTCTTCTTCTTCGAATTTTGCCATTTCGACCTCACGTGAACACAACTGCACTGTCAGAGCACGGAGAAAAATACTGAACGGTGTGAATTGAAAACACTGTGAGCTCACGTCAGCGAGAATCACTGGCACGTCCTGGCACTGTCACGTCACGGCTGAGTGTGAATGGACCTTAATACTGCGAAAATTTTGATGTTCGGATAATGGCATGTCAACGGAGCCGCGGTGGACATATGTGCGATGTTATATTCCATACATAAATGGCAAAAACCAACCTACAATTTTCAATAAAGTTTTCGGTTTCTCACTCTACAAAGTGTGTGTTTGTTTAGATTAAAAAAAGAAGGAACGGATGGAACACTCTATACTTTCTGGCAGACAGAAGCTAACTTCACTAGCCGTTGAGGTTGAGAATCCCAATATTCAAAGCCAACATGCAATTGGGTACCTGAACAAAGATCTTAAAACGATTGAGCATATAAGGCGTACCACTGATAAGGTAAATCAAGTCGTTACATGAAATGCATATTATTATATTTTTCCTGTTGTATGACGTGGCAAACTGGATGTTGGAATCTTGTACAGAAAGGAGCTTCTCGTCATGCACAACAATGGATTACTAGAATACTACTTGCTGTCCAATCTACCTATCAAAATACACTTGAACTGTTTTCTCTGTAATGCAAACGATGCCAGCAGCCCAATACGCTCCTATGCGCATCAGCACTTGTAGTAGGGGTATTACAAACTAGGAAAACACACAGACAGGATGTTGTATTCAGGCAACCTTTCATGGTAAGTTTAGTCAGTAGCTAAATGAGCACCAGTAGACAACACCTTTAAAAATTGCAGCAAAATCTCAGGCAACATTTAGTTTCAGTAGTGTCTGCTGGCTAGCTACTATTACGTGTTTCCATGAATATGGGTCGCAAACTAGTAAATAAACGAAAACTCAAAGCAAACTAAGGCATTTTGAGGCCAATCAAGTTGATTTGTTACGATCTTTCACCTATTGGATACGTCTGAGTCATTATCCTCCACATAATCCAGAGGCACTATACAAGTATAGCCTGGGATGGGATACCTCAAGAGGAAATCGATCATCTTATTAGGAGTATGCCCAGACGCGTTTCTGAGTGCTTAAGAGATTGTGGAGGTCTAAAAAATGACCAGTTTTTTACATTTTTCCCAAAGGTTGGATTTTTCTGAAATTACCTAACTAATCCAAAGAGAAACGCATACAAAAAATTGTCGTTGAATTTATTAATTCATTATTACTGGGTGGCTCCTTTTCTATGTTACTTAGTACTCTTATGACTTGTGACTTTGAAGTTGAGTCATTAATTTTCAGATAATGATTGTAGAAGGAAGATAAACCAAAATATGTGTGTAAAAATAAAAAAAAATAAAAAAGAAATGTTACCTTGTTTTATAAAGTATCCTCCCGACAACTATTTCAGTGCGGACCTGTATTTGATCGTGCGGTCTTGGAGCACCGACTCCCCCCCCCCCGTAAATAAGAATCATGTCCACAAGTTCAGCATTTTCGTAAACATGTGCCATTATTTTATTTCGTTTGAGCCACGCCACAAACATCACTATTCACTCGCGTTACCGACTGACACATTGACTAAATACAACTGAATAAAACATCGTGAGAAGCGTTTCAAATTCTTTCGCTTTTTTGTTTCCGATGCGATGAACCGATTAAGCGGATTATATCCGTTGTCGCCAAACACGAGCACATACTCGTAATATTATTATTGAGACAGGGCGGTACTCAAACTTGTAAAGGGCTATAACTTTGTTACTTTAATTTTACCAGAAAAATGTTAAAGGAAAAAAACATTTCTTTTGATCAGATCTACTCACTGTTAATATAAATGACTCGACTTCGAAGTCCATTGGCATTTTTATTGACATATTTAATTCACACATTATTCTATTTCCGTGACAACCCCAATAAAGAAAGGCAGTCGACCTTTGGCGACGAGCATTGAAATGATGCTGAAGTGCTTTAGTCGCGAAAGAATATTCTCTGCTGAATCAATTTTGACAAATTGCTCCTAGTTCTGAGCAGAGTTCCAACATTTTCAGTTTCTTAAAACACGTGCTATTCAAAGCAGATGAGATTTTAGTACAGCGGCTTCAAAAGTAGGAAATAGAAGGTAAACAGCATTTTTCACTCAGAAAAATTAAAAAAGGCTCGCGCAAAGTAGAGTATTCGAACGGTAAAGCTACATAGAAGCTCCCAATGGATTCGCGGAAACAGGAGCTGCCTAGGTTAACCGACAACATTTCAATTTGTACTAATTTTAACTGGGAGATTGATATTTCGAATTAGACTAATTTGACATTTAAATCAACTATCTCAATTAGTTGTAATGAACGAATCTAGAATCCACGGTGATACTTAGAAATTGGATGGACAACGCACACTGAAATGTTACTTAAATATATTTTTGGTCACGGTATTACCAATTACGTTTCACAGTTGTCATTGAAGGTTGGTCGAGTACTTGCGTTGAATCTGGTCATGCCAAACTAAGGGTCCAACCCATGTTCGACTTTTAACACAACATTCGGTCGAAGCGGAATGTTAAACATACATCTGAGTTGTAACATAAAGGTCAAAGCAAAAAAATAGTAGCATACCAACACCGCATAACAGACTTGCCTTGCTATCTACCTATGTTTGAAAACTAAAAGATAGTGTACCTAACTGACTTGGGCCGCAGGTTTTTCACAGACTCTATGACTTTAGGCAGGCACTGTTCCATGTACCACTAGCTGTGACCGTCTTCCATCCATAATCCGAACAGAGAAAACAAAGCTGATGTAAATGGTCATGCAGAATAGAATGAATTGCTAGGGCATGAAGGTGTAAGAAGGTTTTCTCTATTTGTTGGTACGTCACTCTCTGGTTTTCGTCAAGGAATTTCCTCACAGCAGTAATGTTTTCCTCTTTTACTGACGTTCGCGGCCTTCCTTCACTCTCAGCGTCCTCCAGAGTGAAATTACCCCTTTGGAATTCTCTGTACCACCTGAATATGGTCGTGTGATGAAAACAATCATTCTTTAATGCAAGCGTCATTTCTTCTAAGCACTGGTCTATGCTTAAACCATGCGCAAAGTTATACCGTAAAACCGCCCTTATCTCACTACGTGACCACGATGCTATAGTCCATGAACAACTAAATCAACAGAATTGCTGCTGGCGGCTACTATGCACTCATGGACGCTACATGCAGTAACATGTAGCCTCCTGCCTCCGTTTGTTAAGTCATATTGCAAAACTTGTATAGTACCCTTTTATATCCACAAAATGTGCGCCGAGCAGAGATTTTTCGAAATATTCGACAAGCCTTCAACTTTTCTTGGCCGAAACCCGAATGGGTCGCCGAAGGTGTACCTTTGACCGAATGTGATTGAAGTCGAAGCCAAAGCCATAGCTTTGGTCGGACTTTACCAAAAATTCAAGGATCAGAGATTTATTAAGAAAATGATACCGCGAATCTTGAGGAAGAAAGGTTATCTGACCTAACTTTTTATCTCACTGTCATCCAACGAATAGCTTGTTGAAGGTTACCTGGACACACATGTAAAATTATTTGTGATTTCAATCACACGGAAGAGTGCAAAATATTTTATTTATAATTACATAGTCTCTCGAAGACCGGTTGAATCTGTCTCGTAATTGACCTGTATGAGGTGGAGGCTGCGTATATGTATAAGTACTCGTTATACCGTAGCTGTTTCACTTCCGGTTAATTAGACATATCGTGTATCGATAAAGGGATACCTATGGTAACGCAATTTACAGCTGACCTCTTTGCAACTGCAGCTGTGCTAAATTTATCACCATCCACTGGTCTTTTCGCATAAGGTTCACCTGCTCAAAAGAAAGGTCATATCATTCACTAACATGCTCTAAAAAAAAAAAAGGTTCCCAGTCACACTGGAAGGTGCGAGGCGAAATCTTGGCACCGCTGCACTCGCTCTTCGTAGCACTGCTCATTCTTGGCTCAGCAGCCCTCCCAGGTGGAGTTTCACTTTTAATTTCGCAAAGTGCGAGATTTGTACAATGTACTACTGTCATGTCTTATATGTGTCTAACCTAACATCCATTGCAGTAAGCAATGCTGCCAAAATTCAACAGGATCGGCAGGAAATTGAAAGTCAGATTTTTTAGGACACTCGCTTATATGTATACATATATCATTAAGTAACTGAATACACCGGTTTCTCAAAACAACATAAAAAGCTATTAGTGTGGTTGATACTGGTTACTCATAATATTTGCGGTCAATTTTCAAGGACTGCGGACAAACAACAAAATAAAATTCATGAAATGCCTAGTGCTGTGGACTGGGGAACTTTTTCTATCTAAAGTGCAACAAGGTAATTTATCGTTTCTTCAGGATCCAAACTACGTATCAAGAGCTATTAAAATTCGTTATCAAACATGGCAAAAAGTTTTACACTCTAGCTCCAAAGGAATCAGGCGGACACCATCAACGCTGCAATCCGAGGATCTCTTTTTCATTAAAAGTCCAATAGTTAACGTATTGTTGATGCTATTGGGTATAGATGAAATTGCACTACGTTTCCAAGTCGTGGGAAGTGTGGAGTCAATCTACTTACTGAAATTACCCCGTACTCTCTAATTATTGCCTACTGAAGAGCTAAAAACTCATATATTATGAAATTCGACTCCCGCTTGCTAAAGTGTTCTCGTAACTTATAAATATCTCATAAGAGCGTCTTCGAGATCTTCTTCATTAGAAGACGTACATCTAAATACAGGCAGATAGGGGCTTATAGTTGTTGAAAGTGTTCTGAAACCAACCCTTTAGTTCAGTCGGAAGGGGTAGAATATGAGTTATGTACACGTTTGCCTGGTTAACCAATGAAATCACGGCGGCCTTTTCCGAGTATAGATACAAAAATGTAGATTAGGGTTGAACGGCGGGTCGATATTCTTGCTCGTCTATGGAGGTAGACCTGCTTGTCATAGCGCTTCAATAATAAATGATTAAGCAGTCTTTGAGTAAAAAAGCTCATTGATTTCAAAACTACTGAGGACTATTCTATTTATAATCTCCTGAACTTTCATTAAGATTTTAAGTCTAGTAGTTTATTATTCTTTTACGATCTGAATCAACTCCAACATAAATAAGCTAAGGGAAGTAATTATTATTTTCCTTTTTAGAAGGGGAAAAGTTTTCTTGACTTAAACACTGGCGGAAGGGCTAATTATTTTGTGATCACCTTAACGTTGCACAATTAATTCTCTTTTGGAACAGTTAATCGCAGGTAAGTGTCAAAGTATTCCTCTTTGAATGTCACGATCTATAACCAGATCTCTCTATGTGGCCTTATGTGTTTACATTTGGAGTGCATTTTTAGATCATAAATAAAATAAAAAAATAATTTTGTAAATATATTAAATATAGAGAAATAAACTAAAACAGTATTTTCTGAAAAACAGTAAATAAAAAACAAATAAACTAAAACAATATTTTCTGAAAGAGCATAATAAATAATCAAAAGCCGAAATATAATTTTTTGAAAAAAAACATCAAATAAAAATAAATAAACTAAAAATATAACTCTAAATATATAAAAAATAGATAAATAAGCTAAAACTGTATTTACTGAACAAAAGTAAATAAAAAACAAATAAACTAAAACATAATTTTGTAAATATATAAAAATATATACCTTTTTAAGTCTTTAAACCGTTAAACATTAGTGTTGGTGAATTCCACCCTAAATATATATATAAAAAATATATAAACAAACTAAAGCAGCTTTTTTCTGAAAACACTAAATAAAAAAACTAAAAATACAATTTTGTACATATACAAAAAATAGAGAAATAAACTAAAACAGTATACTCTGAAAAAAGTAAATAAAAAACAAACAAATTAAAAATATAATTTTGTAAATATATAAAAATATATAATTCTTTTATTTTCATTATCATAAAACATTTTAGCTCTAGCGTGTATGATTCAAATATTTATATATTTCAAATTAATCAACTATGATGAGACTATACACCTCTCAGGAAGATATAGCGACGCAGCGCTGTCAAAATTCACATCCATTCCGTCTATGATCGATAAATAATCTCCTGTGGTCTATTCTCCAACGTCACTTGTTTTGTGTTACTTTTGACGTCAAGGTGTTTTTGAAAAAAAAATTTTTTGAAAAACAAATTTCCCTATAAAAAGTGCTTCATCCAAGATTTTGTGCATAAATACAATACAATACAATACGTTAAACCCCTAAATGCGTGGTTATGGTATGTGTACAATCACCAACCTTAATGTCGTAAGCATGTAGTATACCCGTTGGATAATGAGATATGGTCAATTTATGTTGGCCACCCTGTATAAACAAGGCATATTTTCATTTTTGAAGTATTTGCTGCTCTATCCGACATGGCAAGGAGTAAACGAATATCACTGAATTTATTGTACAGCGAAGAATCTCAATTACGTAACTTTGTAAGCACCAAACAAAAAGGACGTACTCGAATTCGTAAGTGGAATTATAAATGAGGGCGACCCATAGCAGTAAATGTAACCGAGTCTCCCATAAACTCTAAATCAAGGTTTAAAGCCCATGCAGTGTATATAAAATCCGGTAGAGTCATCAATAATCAAGATTGGCTGCAGAACGTCGGAAATCACAATTATGCCTGGAGCTTTTGCCAGAATTAAAGTCGGGAAAAAAACGAACAGGGTGTTTCTTGTTCTGTTTTAGCTCACTTTACTGTATCGTACACTATAAATTACCAAGGTTAGAATGGAAATGAATATGTAGGTGCTCGTTATCTTCCATTAAAATCCAAATTGACTTTTAGGCGTGCTTAGATTCAGCCATCCTGTATGGTGCAAGAGAGATTATTCAAACAAAAGCAAATTGCATTTGTAGCGACTGTAAAAATATTTTTGCTCATAATTTTCCACTGAAGCCCATGAGGCATAATTTAGTAATTGGTTGCATTTTTAATAATGTTTATCAACTGTCCAATACAACCGAACAATAACAGTTTTGTAAAGTATATTCCGCATTGTTTGCTTTGCAGAAGCAGGAAAACTGGCTCGGTTTCTATTTGCTCTATAGTTCCAATTTTGCACCTAGCTTACCCGCAGTTTGTAGCACAGGTACCAACTGCAGTGGAAATTAAATTTAGCCTGCATGACAATCGATTTGCTCGGAAAAGACGGTACAGCATCTATTTATGATAGACACAAACATATATTGCACTATTAATAACCTAACTCACCATGGACAGCTATTTCATGCCTATTTGGCAACTCCTCAGCATGGTCCAAGACAGAACAACGGACAAAAGCCAAGTAACTATCCTCTGTCCAGAATATAAGGTCTATTGTAATAAGACGCGCGATTTGCCTGCCAGACAGACCCGCGTAAAACCTTGAACTGGCCGGTATGACTGCTTCTTAGTCCCCATTATACATTACACTACATAACGAAGTATTTTCAAGCTCCTTGCAATAGCAGCCGTGCCCCGGTATTTAAGCTTCTGCCTACGCGGCTGCTTCAATATAAAAAAATACATGAAGTGTCACCTTTTTATTTGTAGATAGCGTTTTTTCAATATTGAGTACTTCGCAGCAGGATAAGTTCACTGAAAAAACAAAAGATTTTACAATAATGCCCTTTTAACAAGAAAATTTGGTACATCATTTGGTATACTTCACTGTTTGTTTTTGAGTTTTTACTTTCCACATTGACTGGCGAGGAGATATTGTTGTTAAAAAATTCGGAAATAGTAGTGAAACTATCAAAACCATACAGTAAGGAAATGTTTGTCAAATATGGTGTACCCCAAGTTACAGTATTCGGTACTCTTTTATTCAATATCTATTTGGATGATATATAATCTTTACTTCAAATTAAACGATAGAAATTTAAAAACTTGCAGTGGACATACTCAAATATTAACGAATTTTTTAGACCAACATTTCAGGTGGGACATTCACGCAGCCTAGATTTTGAAGAAAATAAGATTTGTTAAGTACAAAATTGAATTCATCATAGGGATATTGACAGAAAGTTATATGCGTACTATACAGGGTGATTCACAAGTCGTGACCAAAAATGAAAGATCATACACAGGACATCATTTCAAGGGGGGTCTTCGATGTAACATTTTTTCCTCGAGGGATTCATTAAAAAGATATGGGGTGTTAAAGTTTAAACATAAAAAATAATTTTTTTGATATCTTCAAAGCCGTCAACTGGAATGACCTAAAATTTAGTATGTGAATTTACCCAACTATTGTCCATATTCAAAAGCCTTTACTTAAAATTAACGTGCACCACTGACGGAGATACAGGGGATTAGTGGCATTCTTTTTCCAAATAAAAATAGTACGCCACTGTTGTTTTCGAAACGTGTTATTTTTCGAATTTTACCTTCAATTTGCTACAAATAATTACTCTTGTGTTTTTTCTAGAGTACATTATTTTCGTAAAAATAAAAAAAACAAATCAGTAAAAAACAGTGGCGTACTATTTTTATTTGGAAAAACAATGCAACTAATCCCCTGTATCTCGGAAACTGCTTTTTATTTTTAAACCTCCACGTATCTTTTTAATGAAGCCTTCAAGGAAAAAATGTTACATAGAAGAGCCCCCTTTAAATGCGGTCCTGTGTACATTGTTTTATTTTTGATCAAGAGTTGTGAATCACCCTGTATATCATGCCTTAATTGAGCAGCACCCAATGTATGGAATATTAGCGAGCGGTAAACCTTGTCCAGCGTATTTAAACGTCAGAAGTTTAACAGAGAACTGTGGAGAAGATTGGTACATGCCACTCAACAAGACGACAGCTGGAAGCAGGCGTGCCCCAGGGGTCAGCCTTAGCCCCCCTGCTCTACAACATCTACACTCACGACGTACCGAAGACAGCTGACACAATGCTGGCCCTATATGCAGACGACACTGCTATAGCCGCCAAGCATCGACGACCCGAGATCATCCGTAGGAGACTACAGGATGAACTGGACAACATACAGGACTGGTGCGTGAAATGTAAAATCCGCATCAACGTCCAGAAGACGCAGGCAATCTTCATCCAACGAAGAAGGATTGCAAGACCTCTCGAAGCATCCATCTTCGACGAAGATATCCAGTGGAGCGACAAAGTCAAATATCTGGGGATCATATCCATAGTCCCTCACCTGGAAAGACCACATAGAAGCTGTCATCGCAAAGACCAGAGCCATGACCCAACTCTGCCCATTACTGGGTAGACACGCTACGGCTGATCAAGGCCATCGCCAGACCTCAGCTCGCTTACGCCTCCGCGGTCTGGGGGTACGCTGCTCCCAGCTACCGCAAGCGACTTGCTGCTCTAGAGATGAAGCTACTCCGGATCGCCACCAGTGCACCATCCTACGTAAGAAACTCAACCTTGCGTAGAGACCTGCATTGGGACACCATTCACGAGTACATGGGGAAAAAAGCGGAGAAGGCCTTCCAGAAAGCTCAGGACCACCCGAACGAGAAGCTACGATTCCTCATGGACTACGATCCGGACGAGAGGCCTCGCAACCGCAGAACCAGGTACCCTAGACCAAGGTCCCAGTTGGCACCCACTAACTGGAACCTTGACTAGGAGACTAGGAGAACACGCGGTTGCTCTCCCCTTCCCCCTCCACGGCGTGGATGCAGAGGACCAGGACCCTCCGGGACCAGGACCCATCAGGACCAGGACCAGGAACAATATATAGGTAAGAGGACTTGAAACTCTTGATTTTCCGAAAACAAGAGTTTCAAGAGAACCTAGCAGACCCTCTATCGATGATCGCTTAACGACATCGATAGAATGTGCGAGGTAAAGGGAACCAACCCGGCGTTCACAGAGACTGAAACACATGAGGAGACGTTGTAGCAGACCGCAGGTCACGCACAACACATGGCCTACCGATACGCTGATGAGTCGGGCCACGCGGAGGTTAGGGTTTAGTGGGTATTAGGTGGTCTCCTCAAGACAACCTGGAGTCCCACACACGCCGTAGCCCGGGCTATGGTATGGTGCATAAACGCATTCCCCCCTCACCAAAAAAAAAAAAAGAAAGAGAACTGTTTTAAAAGCTATGCCCGGAAAACCAAACGTATATTCAACAAATGATTTACGAGTACACAACGAAACAAAATTATTTTATATCAAGCAAGTTTATTTTTTACATACTATTAGCCATTATCACAAAGTTATCAGTGAGTTGACTGCTCTAATATAAAAGTTTGAAATTTAAATATAGCTCGGTGATAAAATTACATTATGGCAATATAACAGGCAGTCTAAACATCAAATAATACAGATGTTCCGAAAATTCCGTATGCACCTTTTAAAACACAGAAATTCGTCACTCAAATTTTCTTACATACAATTTTTAGGGGTTTTTCTCTGAACTTTCCTACTTTCAATCAATATACATACATCTTCCTAGTCCGTCTTGCCTACTCCAAAAGACCATGCATAAAACAGAAGAAAGCTCCTTTGTGTTTGAATACTTAATGGGATGGTATGGTGCATTGGGTATTACTTGGTAAAACGTTCCAGAGGAATGTGTACTGTGAAAATGAAGGCCAAGCTCAAGTAGACTAACTCGGTATCCAGACCGGTTGCACCTCAAGTCCTTTCTTTTACTATTTTGATCACTTACTATTAACTTGAATTTCTCTTTATTAAAGGGTGCCCATTCATAGGCCAAACCCTTTTCAATGATTTTCTTTTGGTAAATGTTTATTGATTGTATAATTTCACGTTTTATATCTTTCTTTCTCAGTGATTCAGTATTGTGTTGGAAAAAAACTCTGTGGTTTTTCTCTGTTACCTGGTTTCCTGTTGAACGTACCTTCTTCAAGGCCAAACTGTCGAGAGGTGGCAACACCGACACACCACAAAAACGATCTAAGTACTTTGGTTGACATATATTATAGCTACTATATGTGGTTAATGATGATACACCTACGCAGTGGTGTTTTTTAGAGAAAATATGTGGCCAACCTGATTCTTTTTGTTTCGCTCGCGGGGAATTTTCCCTGCAGCTTTGAACATCGGTATCCGATCAGAATTTCATGTCGCAGGATATTCGATAAATATTTGAAGGATTCAAAGGCAAAGTCAACAAGTGTACTATAAAGAAAATGGATGTCAATGAATAAATGCATATTTTACCCGGTTCAGAGTTAAAAACAAGATTCTAGAGTACCTACTGAAATGAACCTCTTATAGAGGGTATAAAACTTTAAGTCACCTGCAGTCATCTAACGATGACCATTTTGTCGTCGCTACTTTATAGAGGGTGCTCCTTAATCAATGTAAAAAGTTAACAAACACATTATTATGCAAAACTGAATGTTTCACAAAACAATGAAGTAATAACTCTAAAATACACTACAAGATTAAAAATTTATCATGGAACTGCAACATTGTATTATAGGTGTCGGTACCGTGATGTCCAACTCTACATATAGTCTGGTATCAAAGCTGAAGATGACGATGTGTTATGCTATAGAGGATTTTTGGGCCTGACTGTCTAGGAAGGTTTATCATGGGAGCCTCGGAAGCCCAAGATGAAGAGAGAATGAGAGAAATTGATGTGCATTCCGTCCAGGACCTCATAAGAGACATTCTAAGAAAGTTGCGTCTGGTAGAGCAGAATGGGCCACTCCAAGTAACTCGATAGTATAGTTTAGGTAAGTATTAAGTTGTAATTTATAATAACTAGTTAGTGTTTAATTAAACTTCTTCATTAAAAAAATACGAGAAATATTTTGTGCTAACATAGGACATACTTTATTACAAATGAATCTAGATGTTACTTATCTTAAATAGCTGCATCAAGAGAATTCGAAAAAATAATCAGTGAACATTACTCGTGGCATACCATCCAATATAAAAACTTGGTATGGTATCGTAATGATGCGTGGTCGTTTACAATATGTTCATCTAACTTAACCGATGTTTAAGAATACTGTAATCTGTTGAAGGCTCTGATGGCCATTCACTCCATGTGCATTTCATTACAAGGTAGACGACCCAGCTGCATTTGTGCAAGTCGTAGTGAAGGTTATGACTGCATCGTAAATGTTTTTTGTGCGACATGTCGCTATTTCAGTTTTTAAATAACTAATAAAACGTAGGAAAATATAAATACGATCCGTTTGAGGAAAGATATATCCTTAGAGTCATAAACTGGAAGCAGTTTGGATAGACGTGCCTCTAAAAATAAGAATAAAATACTCCATCTGGAGCATTTTGTGACTTTTGGATGAAAAATATGGACGTTTGTCCAAATGACATATGTAAACATAGGTATTAGCAATAAGAGACTATTGATAAAATTAACCGGACAAACAAAATTAACGAAATTGATGCAAAGGTTAAAAAGTTATTTCAAATTCATTTGAACAAAATTTTGTTTTTCCGGTTAATTTTGCGTGGCAGTGTAGAATGTGGGACGAAGTAGCGATGTATCTGAATGCTTATGGATCTGGAGCTATAAAAAGATGGACAACGCTGGAGAAGAGTAAGTTTATATTAGGTTCTGTTATTCTTCCTTCTGCTGTTGTATCCCTCTTCCTTATTAGTTAATTCAAAAAAGTTGTTTTTTATAGAAGAAAAATAGTGCAATGTTAAGAGAAAAACAAATAATCGCAAAAAAAACTGAAAGTAATGAAAGTTAGTGAAATTTTAATAGTAATTTATGAAATTTAAGTACAAAGTTCTGCTTCAGATAAAAAAATACAAATTTTCATTGAGAGAATGAGCATGGTTATGTAAAAGAAATTGCATTTGAATTCAGATTCTACTTGGTATTGCTTCATAATTTCAGATATTAATTAAAATCTTTTTGATTTTCAGAACCAACTCCTTCAACTTCAGCTGCTGAGCCACTAACAGAAATAGAATCAAAAATAGTTATGCAGTGTGCAGAAGCCAGTCGTATGCAGGCAGAGACGTCATTAATGCAACTTTAAAAAGTTCACAAGAAATATGGCCAAGCATATCAAAACTGACTGAAATTCAGAAAGAATAAAGTATTTTTATAATTATTGTTTACTTGTGCTACATTTTAATAAAAGATATTTGCACAAATCATCATGAGTGTATATCGCATACTTATCAATATGTAATTGTAAAAGCTTTCTGCAATTAGGCTATGTGTAAATATAAATCATTGTTACGCACTTGATGTATCTTTTGATGGCTGAGTGGACGAAACAGCTGACGATGACGACGTAACAACCACAGCCATATTGGCAACCGTGGGAGTGGATGCAGCTGCACTTGCAGCTGGGACCGTAGTTATAGATGTTGTAGCTGGGTGATGTATTGAAACCACTGTTGCTGATCCATTGGTTGTTGTCTGAGTTATCATCGACGGAACTGCTAACAGGGCAGTAGGAGGATTCACTGTAACGCCGGTTGCGCCACCTGGCGGAGATCCCCATGGCTTGCTAAAATCCTGAAAAAAAAATCATAAGTCTAAAATTTCTTAGAATCAAGATAGAAAATAATTATAACCTCAAAATAGAGCGCTGACACGACACATTAGAAATCTAGAAATATCCCTGCCTTTCTGAAGGATATGATAGTCTTTCCTATTCTTCAGAACGGAAATTCTTTCTTCAACGCCGAGCAGCCTAAATCGACATTAAACAAAAATATTGGTTGCTTCACATCATGAGAAATTTCAGGCTTATATAACTTGAATCATCTGTTTTATCAGCCTGAAATTTACTAGGATTCAAAAAGAAAATATAACCTCACAATAGAAGAGCACTGACGCTGACGGAAATCTAGCGAATACGCCAGCCATTCTGAAGGAGAGAAAGGTAGTATTGTAAAGTTATATCTTCTTTTTGAATTCTAAAAAATTGAGGCTGTTTATCAGCCTGAAATTTCTTCTTCAAAGTCGGACAGCACAAATGGACATTATACTGTAGCGTTTTTCTGGGTTCTTTTGGGTGTGGATAAAAAACACTGGATTTCAGAAAAAGAAATGCACTAATTTATTTAACTTGATAGAACATTTATATACACCACTATTTATGTCTGACTAATTCTTATATCGCCATTGACTGCACTATACTCCACTCCGCTCTGCTCTGGTGTAATCTGTACTCTCTGCTTCCATCTCCCGGCCGCCGAGTTATATATATCCCAATGGCTGCTTCGAGAAAGGCCGGGTGAACCACAAAACGACATCTAGAATATTGGAGGTATCTTCGCGTCGATCTAGAAGGCGATCCACGAGTAGGAGACTCGCCTAACAGATGGCGCCAACAGAACTATTTGTCACAATACAAACGGAAATTAGTGTCTAAAATTTCAGTGAGAAATTTCAGGCTGATAAAACTTGAATCATCAGTTTTATCAGTCTGAAATTTACTAGAATTCAAAAAGAAAATATAACCTCACAATTGAAGAGCATTGACGCTGACGGAAGCCTAGCGAATACCCCAGCCATTCTGAAGGAGAGAAAGGTAGTATTGTGAAGTTATATCTTCTTTTTGAAGTTTAAGAAATTTCAGGCTGTTTATCATCTGTATTATCAGCCTGAAATTTCTTCTTCAACGTAAGAAAGCACAAATGGACATTATATAAACGGAAATTAGACTCTACAATCTTAGAGAGAAATTTCAGGCTAATAAAACCATGACTCATCGGTTTTATCAGAATGAAATTTACTAGGATTCAACGTTACCTCAGAATATGAGAGCACTGACGCTGACACGGATCAGTAGAAACCTTGACATACCCCAGCCTTTTTGAAGGAGAGAAAATGATATTAAAAGCAAGGAAGCCATAGAAGCGTCATACAGTTGTAGGAACGACTGACGATACGGCCCTAAATTTTAACGTGGTGGTGAGATATTGCAGCTCTGAAGGGAAGCAAATGAAAATTAGCATATCTATCATACGTAATATTAGACACATCGTATTTCATGACTAGAAAATCCCTTGTAGGGCAGCTACTGAGTAAATGAATAATCCAGCGTGATTTGAATACATTAACCCTTCTCAACAACCTAACTTTTGTTTATGCTGACAGTTATTAAATTGGTTGTATAAGAAGAATAATAGTACGTCAATATAGGCAGTATGTTGTTCATGTTGGTTAAGTATACTATTCATTTGATTATCTAGCATATTAGTTATATAGTTTGGGTTTCTGGTCGGGGTTTCTTGAACCGGGAAATCCTGGGAGACGAATTCGAGAAAGCTTCCTAAATCTCACAGATGTTCACACAAGCACTCAGTTTCTAATCTGTTAAATATCCCCTATACTCACAATCCGATACGGTACCACTAGGATAATAGCGGAACATGCTCCTGTGGTAATTATTAAACGGTGCTGTCTGGTATAGGGAATTTTCATCCGTTTTTTTTTTGTTTATCCTTACGTGACATCTTGCACCAACATTTTGCGCACTGGTTCTTCCTGAACTGACGGAAGGATCCAATAAACCACTAGGAACAGAAAGACACGTTGTTAAAATCCCATTTACTTTATTTTTAAAGTTATTATAGGAATGACGATGGTAGTTCTCACGAGAGGATCTCACGCGTTTCTGGTCTCCTTGATTATCATAGTCCTGTGTTTCTCCTTCAGAAAGCTGGGGTATTTCTAGATTTGTGCTGTTCCGAGTCAGCGTTCTCCTATTGTTGAAACTATGTTTTCTTTTTGACTCAAAAAATAAAACTAGTAACTTAAACTAAACTAAAAATATAATGCAGTCTATTCTCCAACATCACTTGTTTTCTACTTTTGACGTCAAAGGTGTTGAATAGAAATCTTGTTGCTAGAAACATGCCGGTGCAAATGTAACAAGGATAGCAGATAAACCCAAATAACATATAATAGTGTAAAATTAAGAATAGGCAAAAAAATAAACTTAAACACTATTTTATGAAGTTACTTAAATTAACTGAACTAAAAATAAATGTGTATTCTCGCCTTAACACCGAATGACGATGGTGGTTCTTACTAGAGGATTTCCTACGATGCGGCGCCGTCTACAACTACGGCGATGCCGCGCAGACCTAGTTTTTTTCACGAGTATCCTCTACGGCCGTATTTTGTTTCAATTTTAGTTCTTTCCCTTAAATAGGAATTTGGATGTTGCAAACATGCCGGGGCGAATACCCCAGCCATTCGGAAGGAGAGAAAGGTAGTACTGTGAAGTTATATCTTCTTTTTGAATTATAAGAAATTTCAGGCTGTTTATCTGTTTTATCAGCCTAAAATTTCTTCTTCAACGTGGGATAGCACAAATGGACATTAAACAAACAGAAATTAGACTCTAAAATTTTACAGAGAAACTTCAGGCTGATAAAACTTCAATCATCAGTTTTATCAGCCTAAAATTTACTAGGATTCAAAAAATATAACCTCACAATAGAACATGCTCCTGTGGTAATTATTAGAAGTTGCTGTCTGGTATAGGGAATTTTCATCCGTTTTTTTTTTGTTCATCCTTACGTGACATATTGCACCAACATTTTGCGCACTGGTTCTTCCTGAACCGATGGAAGGATCCAATAAACCATAGGAACAAAAAGAAACATTGTTAAAATCCCATTTACTTTATTTTTATAGATATTATGGTATTGTGAAGTTATATCTTCTTTTTGAATTATAAGAAATTTCAGGCTGTTTATCATCTGTTTTATCAGCCTGAAATTTCTTCTTCAACGCGGGATAGCACAAATGGACATTAAACAAACGGAAATTAGACTCTAAAATTTTACAGAGAAATTTCAGGCTGATAAAACTAGAACCATCGGTTTTGTCAGCCTGAAATTTTTACTAGAACTAATAAACTTAAACAATATAAATAACATGAACAATAAATAATCAAAGTCAAAAAATAAAACCAGTAACTTAAACTAATAAACTTAAACAATATTTTCAGAAGTAACTTAAATTAACTGAACTAAAAATAAATGTGTATTCTCGCCTTAACACCGAATGACGATGGTGGTTCTTACTAGAGGATTTCCTACGATGCGGCGCCGTCTACAACTACAGCGACGCCGCGCAGAGCTTCTAGTTTTTTTAATGAGTATCCACTACGGCCATATTTTGTTTCAATTTTAGTTATTTCCCTTAAATAGGAATTTTGATAATGCAAACATGCCGGGGCGAATACCCCAGCCATTCGGAAGGAGAGAAAGGTAGTATTGTGAAGTTATATCTTCTTTTTGAATTATAAGAAATTTCAGGCTGTTTATCATCTGTTTTATCAGCCTGAAATTTCTTCTTCAACGCGGGATAGCAAAAATGGACATTAAACAAACGGAAAGTAGACTCTAAAATTTTACAGAGAAATTTCAGGCTGATAAAACTTCAATCATCAGTTTTATCAGCCTAAAATTTACTACGGTTCAAAAAATATAACCTGACAATAGAACATGCTCCTGTCGTAATTATTAGACGGTGCTGTCTGGTATAGGGAATTTTCATCCGTTTTTTTTTTGTTTATCCTTACGTGACATCTTGCACCAACATTTTGCGCACTGGTTCTTCCTGAACTGACGGAAGGATCCAATAAACCACTAGGAACAGAAGGACACGTTGTTAAAATCCCATTTACTTTATTTTTATAGATATTATGGTATTATGAAGTTATATCTTCTTTTTGAATTATAAGAAATTTCAGGCTGTTTATCATCTGTTTTATCAGCCTGAAATTTCTTCTTCAACGTGGGACATTAAACAAACGGAAATTAGACTCTAAAATTTTACAGAGGAATTTCAGGCTGATAAAACTTGAACCATCGGTTTTGTCAGCCTGAAATTTACTAGAACTAATAAACTTAAACAATATAAATAACATGAACAATAAATAATCAAAGTCAAAAAATAAAACCAGTAACTTAAACTAAAAATATAATGCAGTCTATTCTCCAACGTCTCTTGTTTTGTTACTTTTGACGTCAAAAGTGTTGAATAGAAATCTTGAT